AATCCCCGTCAGGGTACATGCCTGGGTTGCAGGCTCAATCCCCAGCAGGAGGCATGCAGGAGGCAGCCAACCGATATTGATGTTTTCCTCTCATTGATGTTTCTCTCTCTCCCGCTCCCTTCCTCTCTAAAATCAATAAAAACATATTTTTTAAAAATCTCATAATAACTCTGTCATTACAATTGTAATAAGCATAATAAAAGGTTGATGTATAACCAGGAGGGACCCATTCTGTCCTGGGGCAGAGAGGGAGGACGTTGGTGTAAGAATTAGATTATATGACTTCATAAGAACTGTGAAGTGCACAGCTAACACCAGGCTCTTCTTTCTCAAAGCTGGTGCCATTTGGCAGTATTTGCCCTAATCGTTGACCTTCCAGGCATAAGGGTTAGAGTACAGAGAATTTTATTTCTTCAGGCCATCTAGTCAGTGGTGAGGCAGGCACTTCAGCCCAGACCGTCTGACACTAAAACCCACATTCTTGTCCTCCACACTCCTTTGCCCTTTGACTCATCAGCCTCACCCTCATGTCGAGTCAGATGGTGACATTTTTTTAAAGTGGAGGTATAATTGACATATAACATATTAGTTTTAGGTGTACAACATAATGATTCAATATTTGCATCCACTGTAAAATGATCACCACAATAAGTCTAGTTACCATCTCTCACCATACTGGTACAAAGGTACAAAAAATCCCCCCATCTCCCTTTATGATGAGAACTTTCAGGATTTACTCTCTTGGAAACTTTCAAGTATGAGCTACAGTATTATTGACTATAGTCACCATGCTGTACATTACACCCCCATGACTTATTTTATAATTGGAAGTTTGTACCCTTCACCCATTTCATCCATTTCACCCACTCCTGTACCCCTCTCTCCTCTAGTCACCACCATTCTGTTTTCTGTAACTATGAGTTTTGTTTTTTATATTCTACATAAAGGTGAAATCATATGGTATTTATCCTTCTCTGACTTATTTTACTTAGCATGATTTCCTCAAGGCCCATCCATATTGTCATAAATGGCAAGATTTCATTCTTTTTATGGCTAAGTAGTATGCCATTGTATATATGGTACCACATCTTCTTTATCCATATATCTATTGATGGACACTTAGGTTGTTTCTATACTTTGGTTATTATAAATAATGCTAACTTAGGGGTGCATATATCTTTTCTAATTCGTGTTTCTGTTTCCTTTGGATACATACCTACTAGTGAAATTGCTGGATCATATGGTAGTTCTATTTTATTTTATTTTTTTAAATCCTCACCAGATGATAGTTTTTCCATTGCTTTTAATTTTTTGTTGTTGTTGTTAATTGTCACCCAAGAATATTTTCTCATTGATTTGTAGAGAGAGTGGAAGGGAGGGGGAGAGACACACAGAGAGAAACATCAATGTGAGAGACACACATTGATTGGTTGCCTCCTGCATGCACCCTAACTGACTGGGGTTGGGGATCGAGCAACTGAGGTATGTGCCCTTGACCGAATCGAACCCAAGACCCTTCAGTGTGCAAGCCAATGCTCTAACCACTGAACACACCAGCCAGGGTGTAGCTCTATTTTTAACTTTTTAAGGAATCTCCATACTGTTGTCCATAGTGGCTGCACCAATTTATATTCCCACCAACAGTGCAAGAGGGTTTCTCCAACTAGGGTCCCCTATGGTATAAGATAGTAGTCCAGTTTCATTCTTTTACATGTGGCTGTCTAGTTTTCCCAACACCATTTACTAAAGAGACTATCCTTTCCCTCATTGTATATCCTTGCCTTCTTTGTCATAAATTAACTATATATGCATGGGTTTATTACTGTGATCTCTATTCTGTTCCATTGATCTATGTGTCTGTTTTGATGCCAATACAATACTGTTTTGATTAATATAGTTTTGTAATACAGTTTGAAATCAAGGAGTGTGATATCCCTGGCTTTGTTTTTCATTCTCAAGATTGCTTTGGCTATTCAGAGTCTTTAGTGGCTCCATACAAATTTTAGGATTATTTGTTCTATTTCTGTAAAAATGTCATTAAAATTTTGACAGGAAATTCACTGATTCTGTAGGTAGATTGCTTTGGGTAGTATGGTCATTTTAACAATATTAATTCTTCCGATCAGATATTTTATTTTATTTTTTAAATATTTTAAAATTGATTTCAGAGAGGGAGAGGGAGACAGAGATAGAAACATCAAGGATAAGAGAGAATCATTTATCAGCTGCCTCCTGCGCACACCCTACTGGGGATCAAGCCCCCAACCTGGGCATGTGCCCTGACTGGGAATCAAACCATGACCTGGTTCATAGGTTGATACTCAACCACTGAGCCACACCTGCCGGGCAGATGGTGACATTTTAAAGAAGGTCTGTTCCCTAGAGTCTTCTGAATGGGTGTGTCATGTGGTGGCCAACGGCTTCATTTTGAGCTGAAGGTCTGCTTTCCACCTTAACCCACTGAGTAGTGGATATTTATTGACAACAGTCCCATCTGATGACGGTGAAGCAAGTTGGTACATGTTCAGCCACACAAGCCTCAGATGAAGCCTCTGGCAGGAAAAGTTCCCACAGTTGGGAACTTAAGCTGATTAGCTTTTCGGGCTGCTTGAGGGGGAAATGGGGTGGCCTTGACATTCAGCTTCAATACTTTAGAAGTTTGGCCATTTCATACATTTCTGTTTGCTTTTCCCCTTTGCTTCCCTAAGATTAAAGAAAAAAATTACCCCAAAACGATTAGGGCAATGGGCCTCAGTTTATATTCTCAATTCTCATTTAATTGCTACCCATTCTTCCTCATTAACCAGGCCTCTGATCTAAACATGCAGTAAACATCCCATCACTGTCTTTCCATCAAATCCAGTTCACAATTTTGCCTTAAGGTTCCACTGAATCCAACCCACTTTTAAAAACCCTCTTCATCTCTGGGGATCCCTGGAGAACACTTAGAGGGGCATGTTTGAGGAGAAGTTGAACTTAATGCTTAGCCAGACATCATGGGAACACACCTGGAGTGGGAATAACAAAATGCATGTGCACGGCCTGCTTACCTTTAAGTGTCTTGAGATGGGGCGAGTGACTTCACCTCCATGGGCTCAGTATGCGCATCTCTGAACTGCAGTGGCTCCCCCCACCTGCGTTCCACCAGTACATTCATCTTCTGCAGCCCTGGGTGACAGACCGGAGACATGAATGTCCTAAGAACCACAAGTGAAATGCTCACTCACCACTCACCACTCGGGAGCTCACTCAAGGCTCTTTCAAAGGTCATCCCTAAGCCCACTGTGGTCTGGAAGTGCTTGTAACTAGATTGTCATTGTAACTACTTCCTTAACAAGACTTCAAAGCTCTTTATGAACCCAAACAATTGCTGAACTGATAGGGACAGAACAATCGCACCCCTTGAAATGCAGGTGGCGTGTGCTTCCTGGTGGCCCTCAGCAGAGAATTTTCTCTATCCCCCCAAACCCAGCACAGACAAGACGCTTCGCTGGTCGCTGAGGCCAGACCGAGAGTCCACCTAGGCTGAGGGTCAGCACAGACCTGAGGGAGGTAAAGGCTGGTCAGGCCACTGTGGCCAAGAGAAGAGGGCAAGATGGACCAGGTCACAAAACCAGAGGTCATGTACCAGGGCTTGGGGTGGGCACCCTTCAGCACACCATGTGGCCTGAACAATGTCTGTGGGCAGCAGGGAGCCAAGGGAACAGGCCTGGGCACGGAGCGGGAGGGAAACTGAGCCCAGCACCGGGAGCCGTGCAGAGATGCTCAGAGGGCTCAGGGGAGCCAAAACACTAGTGACAAGGGCGGTGAGAACAGCAAGTCACAGTAACCGCAGCAGGAAGATCTGGGGAGAATTGGGGTAGCAGGTTAATTAGGCCTTTGACTTAACAACTGAACATGGACTACACCCAAAGGGGATCAGAACCACATGTGTATGACTAGATGTACGTCTACACATTTAAATGAATACAGATATGTGAGGAAAGTGGGCAGAAATGGGCAACAGGTGATGATAATACATGCACTGGAAACAGAACTCAGACACTGATTTAGACCTAGTACAGTGCTCGACACATACTAGGTGCTCAATAAATGACGAAGTCCCTTCCCTCCACTGCTACTCAGAGAAGGGACCCATCCCACTTCCCAGAGAATGAATGGGTATTATGAACCAGCATGAGCCTTGTCTTCTTACCTGATACTAGAGGGAAATCTAATTGCTTAGTAAAGCTGTTCACTTGTACCCACTGTGCTATTTACCTAGTCTTATTTTTTTTAACCTCATCAGAGGACATGCTTAGAGAGGGGAAGGAGAAGGAGGGAAAGAGGAAGAGAGGGAGAGAGAGAGAGAGAGAGAGAGAGAGAGAGAGAGAGAGAGAGAGAGAGAGATTGATTGCTTTCCATACATGCCCTGATGGGGGGATGGAACCCACAACCCAGGTATGTGCCCTGACCAGGAATCCAACCAGCAATCTTTTGGTGCACAGGGTTGACTCAACCAACTAAGCCACTCCAGCTGGGCATACCTAGTCTTAATTAATTTCATTGTATCTACATTTCAAAGGTACGACCTTATCAGGATGCACTATCCAGTCCACAGAAACTGAATTTGCATGCAGCCCCTCTGCTGTCTTGTCTAGTCCCTAAGGGGTGCCCAGTCCAGGCTGACACACCACTGGGGCCCTGGAGGAGGATCTTGTCCACATGGCATGGTACTCAGGGGGCTTCTCATTAAGGGCAGGGCCACTGGAGTGAGTCCCTAGACACACTGTTCCGGATGGGGCTGATCGCACCCACGTCTACCCGCTGCTCCCACGGAAAACTGGGATCCCAGGTCAGCCGCATTCAGGAGGAGCGCCCAGGCCACTGCCCCACAGAGCGTGGCTGAAGTCAGGACGACAGCTCACCTGGGAACTGGGGCGCCAGACCTGTAGGCCGGGCGCCCTTCCCCTCCGCACGTGACATCACGGAGCTGCTCCATAAAAGCAGCCCGCAGGGATCCAGGAGCGCAAAGCACAGACGTGCTTGCCGAGCTCGCGCCTGCGCTGCGCACACGTGGTCGCGGTGCCCAGTGCCCGGTGTGGCGGTCCCCGCGCGGGCGCTCCCTGGTCCCAGCCCGGCGACCAGATTGGGAAGGAGCGGAGCCCAGGGCAGTCCGCGCCGGCCCCGCAGGAGCCACCGAAGATGCCCCACAGCAGCCTGCGCGCGGCGGCCGTCCTCCTGCTCTTGATCTTAAAGGAACAGCTTTCCAGCACAGCCCCACTCAACGGTAAAGTTTCTGCCTCTTTCCTAACAGTCCCGGAGCGCTCAGCCACCCCTGGACGGAGGGATTTCCTGCGGGGCTTATAAATGATAAAGTAAAATCATTGAGGGGGAGGGGGATGCCTGGGGGGTGCGGGGAGGGGGAGCAGGGAAGGACAAGCCTCGTGTCCAATTGCACACTGTTAGGAGGGATGCTCCGTTTCCCTTTGGAACGCACGACCTGCCGTGGCTGGGGGAACGCACTGTCTTCCTATTGAAATTTGTCTGTGCTCTCCGAGCACCTGCAGCTCCGCAGGGGTTGCTTGGGAACTTGCTCACTGGGGCCGGGAACCGGGATTTTAAATGCTGCGCGATGGGAAGGGGACTGTGCATCCTGAGCAGGGTCGCGGCAGGAAGGGTCGCAGTGGCTCCAGGGCAGAAGCCTCCCATCCGAGCGGGTGCTTTACTGGGCCGGGGGGGGGGGGGGGGGGGGGGGGCTCCTCGCCATTGGATTTTACCTGCAAGTCAAAGGGATGATGCATCCCATCCTTAATCATTGTTTTTCTCCAGGAAAAACTGTCCTAAACGTGTGTGTGTGTGTGTGTGTGTGTGTGTGTGTGTGGATACGCGCACAGATGAGCACACACACCTTATTTCTGAGTGTAATTAGGGCCCTTAACCCTGAGGGTGCGGACTGAGGTGGGAGGAGGCGGTGGGTGGACCTGGCTGTAGACTCAGGTCTGTGCAGTGAATTGCGGAGAGTAGCTAAGGTCAGGTTAGCCAGTCCTTTGAAACACATGGGGGAGGATGCCACGCTTTTGCCTGCCTCCCCAACAGCTGGGTGAATGCTGTTCTGAGAGAGTAAATGGTGACTTTTGTGGAAACTCCCCGGTAACTGATGGTGGCCCCGCCCTTGACAGTTTGCCTCAAGTTGTAAAGATGTGTGTGGGTGCTATAATCCCGAACCCGTTAGGCTGAAATATTTACAGAAGGACCCAAAGCGACCATAACGGCTGAACATGTATACCCCCTGGCTAGGCAGTGGTGGTGGGGAATCGGTCCTGTTCAGCGGGAGCCCCCTTCCTTCTTGGAGGTCATTGTGCCCCCTCTCCCCGGGGGGTAGGGGGTGCAGGGCAGGGGACAGCGGGGAGCTGGGCTGTCAGCAGCTTTGCCATTACTCTGAATTCAATTCCAGTCCACTGGCATGATATGCTTAATATTATCTCCCCCACTCCCGGGAGAAATAGAAGGTCAGTGAGAGAAAGGCGTTATGTAAAAGTGGAAATTAATTTTTAAAACTGCAAACTTTGGCATGTATCCCCCTCTGGAGAAAGCTGCACTGAGACCTGAAGTTTCACTAAAAGTCTCCCTTTTCGTTCCAAGCTGTTCTAAGACCAGAGACAGAAACAGCCATTCATTGGCTGGCGTTCCTGAAAGCCTGTTACTCCCCTCACTCTGGGGGCAGCTCCTCTGGCTTGTTCTCTTCCTGCCTGATTTCCTTCTCCCTCCTCCCCTGCCCTCCTTGCCCTTCTTCCTCTCTCCCCTCTCTCCTTTGTCCTCCCTTCTCCCCTCCCCATTCTCCAAGTTAAGATGGTGTAAAAACTCCACTTTCACCCCACACTGAGCAGCCCACCTGCCTACCCCTAGGTTTGAAGAACACAGTTTTTATTTTATTATTCCTCATGAGATTCTGGGCGTCTTAACTGCCTTGGGGACAAGGTCAAGGCAAAAATCACTGAGGTGTGGAGTTCAGTATTAACCCAAGGTTGGGGCTGAAGGAGGGGTAAGCTTGGTAATGGGGTCAAAGTGTGGCCTGCCCTCTGCCCGGAGCATTTAAATTTCCAGCCGTTGGCCCTGGAGAATGTCTGAGGAAAACTCTGAGGTTGGGAGGGAGCAAAGTCAGGTGAAGTCTGGTGTCTTCCGGAGAAAACCTTGGGTTCTTAGCTGCTGGGGGGAAACATGGCAGTGCATTCTGCAGCACCCGCTCTGTGTGGACCTGGTGTGGCGAGCTGGGCAGTCTCAAGAACTCAGGGAAGCTTCTAGCACCCAGGACAGGAAGCGGGCAAAGCCCCAAACCCCTGACTTGGATCTATGTAAATATCACTTCCTTGGAGAGCACACAGGGCATTCTCCCTGCCTGGACACACTGGGCTGCAGGTTCTAACAGGCATCGGCTGGGCCTCCCAAGGCTCACCCTCTTGGGAAGGAATAGTTCCCCTCCCCGAAGGGCCACGAAGGGGGAAGGGGCAGCGGCAGCAGCCTTGGCCTGACCTGTCCTGCAGGGTCAGTTTAGTCCTGCTAAGTAAGAGGTCTGTCCCTAAAGCTAACGGTGGGGAATCAGGAGGCGCCACGTCCATAAAGCGCAGACAGACACACACTTCCTTATGAAGTCTGCCTGAGGTCAGGTCTGAGCTGACGGTGAACCGGGCTGGGGCCTGACCTTCCCCGGTGAACCCCCCAACTCAGATCACCCTCGCTTCCATTTTACGACGATTAATCCCCCAGCCCCCTGCTCCCGAGCCCCGCCACGCTGCCACTTACACTCAAAGCGCTGAGTGTTGAGGCCCAACCAGGCTTGGGCAGAGAGAGGAGGGCAGCGAAGGGTGCTCTGGATGTTGCTGCTTTTCAAGGACATCTAGGGCTGCTGGGCCTCAGGTGTCCACTCTGCAACCTCGGTCCCTGAGCTCCCACAGCATCATGCTGGTGCCTCATCTGAGGATGAGCGCTGCAATCACAGGAGAAACCTCAACTGAGTGAGCTTTCGGGAGCGGAGCAGAAGGCGCAGGGTATTAGGGGTACGATTTGATTTGGGGGAAAGTGCAGCTAAAACTTCCGGCCAGAGCAGGACTGCTCCTAGGCAGCAGCTGCTTTCCTGGTGGCCTCCAGGATCCCTGGAGTGGCCTGTGTCTCAGGGCAGCGGTGAGGGGCACTCCCGTGACCTGTCAGACGACATCCCAGGCCTCGGAGAGCTCTCTCAGCCTGGCTAAGTAGAAACCATCTGCTTCTCTGTGTAAAGTCTGTGGTTGTATTTTAATAGTGAACCCCGAAACAAAACGCTGAAGGAAAATGTTTGGGGAGGAGGTTTGATGTCTTCTGGAGTGTAGTTTGAAGGCAGTGCTTCCTTTGTCCCTTTTGTCTGCTGTTTCAGTGCAGAGCTGGTGCACACGTGGGAGCCACACACAAGTCCGGTTCGCCTGTGGTCCTGACCGCCTTCATCCAATTGCTAATCCAGGGGAGGTTAATCTTGGGACTGTTGATGCCTGTGGAGTCCATAGTAGGTCCCAGGGGTCCGTGGACCTTCTGAAACTAATTGTACATAAACTTGTGTGTGTCTAAGCTTAGGTATTTTTAGGAGGAAAAGGTCCATAGTTTACATCAGCTACTTGGATTGGTCTGGTCTCCCCCTGTCCCCCAAAGAGTGAGAAGAAGAATCAAAGATTCCTTAAGTTTATGGGAACTTAGGGTGGGCTGTCTGTAAATGCCTAAGCCTAAACAAATCATGAAAGAGCAAAAGAGGGGCAAGTTTTATAGCGATATGGAGATAATACCAAAAGAATTAACTAAAGAGTAGTCAAAGTGGGTGCCATAAGGAGCAGGAAAAAGCCTAGGGGTGTCAGGGGACCGATTAAAAAAAAGCTTTGTTAGAACCACCTGACTCTATAAACCATGTACAAGTGTATTTTGATAAGATTACCAATTAATAATTGAGAATTAAAATAATTAAAAGCACTGAAGCACAGAAATGAAACAGAACAACAACAAAAATATGAAGTTAAACCAGCTTTAAAAATAAAAGCAAAGTCCTCTTTTACCTTTAAAATCCACCATTGGCTTGAGTAGGAGATGCCCAGTTGTCATAAGTGACCAGTGAAATTTTACTCAAATCAGTTCCCGAGAGAGAAAGGGGATGGGAGAGCCTTCCTCTTCCCGCTGTCCCCGGTGGGCCGAGAACACGGAGACACTGGGAGAAGCTAGGAAAGAGGGACTTAGGAGCTGGACAGTCCCCACATTGGGATGTGGCCCTGAGACACCCCGAGTCTTCATTCAGGGTCTCGATCTCCTTCTGGAGGTAAGGAGGGAGGTGTCAGGCAGGGTCTGCAACAGCTTTTCAAACAATGTGTTTTGATATAGGAATGAAGGACTTTTACGTGTGCAGGGTGGGGAGTGGGAAGTGGCCGGTGACTTCCGTTATATTCCTGGCAGAATTTTTCCTACACATTCCTCCCACCCCTGGAATCTAACTCGTGCGAGGGCGGCAGCATCCCCAAAGAAACACTTTCCTTTTGAGAGTAGTGTTTTACTCCTTATGTACCGATGGGAACTATTCTCCAGGATATGTTGTTAAGTAGGGGAAAAGCAAGATGCAAAATAGTGTTTCCAACATGCCAGCCTTTGTGTGAAAAAAGGGGGGGGAGCCCTGGCCAGTGTGCTCAGTGGTTAGAGTGCCAGCCTGTGCACCGAAGGGTCGTGGGTTGGATTCTGGGTCAAGGGTATGTACCTGGGTTGCAGGTTCAATCCCCTGCCCCAGTTAGGGTGCATGTGGGAGACAACCAATCGATGTGTCTCTCATATTGATGTCTCTCTCTCCCCATCTCTCCCTTCCTTCCTCCCTCCCTCCTTTTCTCCCTTCCTTCCCCCTCCCTCCCTCTTTGCCTCCCTTCTACTGTCTTTAATAATCAATGGGAAAAATATCCTCAGGTGAGGATTAACAAAAAAAGAGGGGGGGGGTGCGGAAAGAATACAATACATAAGTGTGTGTAGTCATACCATAAAAGATTCCATCAACTGATGAATTGGCCATCTCCAGTGGAAACAGAGAGATCTGGCAGGAGAAAGAACTTTTACTGTAGACCCTTCGGCAGCTTTTGGGTTTTGAGCCTTGTGAATTTATTACCCACTCAGCTAATAAAATTTGGCATCTCTAGGATGTCTGGGGAGGCTTTTACTGAAGAAGTTTTGGGCATCCACCCCCTTTTCCGTCTCACCCATTTCAAAATGAAATCTGTGTTTTTTTTCCAACTTGTTCAAGCATAATTGTACTTAACTTGCTTTGTTTTGTTCTTTGCAGGGTTCGACTGGACCTATATTGGTAAGTGGAGATCTTAAATATTTTTTTTAGGAGATGGCTGTGTTTAATGAGAAAGCCAGAAATGTCACGATCTCTGGAGATATTTTTTTGTAGTAGAGAGAGCAGTTCTGATATTATTAAATAGGCACAAAGGCCTCTCTGAGAAATCACTCCATAGGGGTTGCATGCTACACTTTCTCCTAGCAGATGAGCCTGCTCTGTGTACTTGAACTTTGAGTCAGTGTTAAGGCTTCCAGATTCCTGCACGGATTTCTACCAGACCTCCCAGGTGAAGATACCCAGGGTACTTCCACACTGCAAGGGCCGTGGGCAGGAGAGAGCCTTTCTCTTTTGTAGGACATTTACCCTACAATAAACAAAGAATAAAGGGCTCTTTTCTGAAAGTTTGGCTCAGGCCCCAAGACTTAAGCCAGCGGTTCTCAACCTTCTGGCCCTTTAAATACAGTTCCTCATGTTGTGACCCAACCATAAAATTATTTTCGTTGCTACTTCATAACTGGAATGTTGCTACTGTTATGAATTGTAATGTAAATATCTGATATGCAGGATGGTCTTAGGCGACCCCTGTGAAAGGGTTGTTCGACCGCCAAAGGGGTCGCGACCCACAGATTGAGAACCGCTGATTAAGCTGTCAGTAGGTCTAGAATTAACTACTTCTTGCCCTGTTTGTAAACAAGCACTAGACAAGTGGAGATGGAACATCCTTAGTGAAAAGAGACGCTTGTCTTAAATGGGAAGAGAGGGACATCAGCCGTGCAATGGGGTTTCTGTGGGACTGGGTCAAGAACGACGTTGGCCACTGCTGGCAGGCTTGCAAGATAAGCACCTTGAAATCAGCGTAGCTGGTGTGTTGCACTGAATGGGAAACGTGGTCATCAGCGGGAGTGGGGACGGGAGGCCAAGTACTTGGGTCCCCTGGCAAGTGCAGAATGCTAATACAGTCCCCCCTTATCTGCAGTTTCACTTTCTGTGGTTTCAGTTACCCAAGGTCAACCACAGTCTGAAAATATTAAATGGAAAATTCCAGAAATAAGCAATTCATCGGTTTTACATTATGCGCCGTTCTGAGTAGAGTGATGAAATCGCGAGCCGTCCCACTCCGTCTTGCCCAAGACGTGAATCATCGCTTTTGTTCTGCACATCCACGCTGCCTAGCTCCCCGCATGTTAGTCAGTTAGTAGCTCTCTTGGTTCTGGGGGTGGCGAGGGGAAGGCCACACACACATAGCCTTTAACATGGTATATTATACTTGTTCCATTTTGTTATTTTTGTTGTTAATTTCTTATTGTGCCTAATTTATAAATTAAACTGTATCATAGGTATGTATGTACTGATAAAAACATATATATGGTTTGATATTATGTACAGTTTCAGGCATCTACTGGGGGTCTTGGAATGTATCCCCATGGATAAGGGAGAACTACTATTATGTCCTATTTAGGACAGAGTCACAAGGGATTTGCAACATAGCTTGTTATGGTAAGTGGGAGGGTGGAACTGGCCTTGTTGACAAGCAGGGAAGTTGATTACTACAGTGGACGCAGAATCCAGATAAAGCCCTGGCTTAAATTTGTAAAAGCCTTTGTTAGCCCAGGAGGCATAGAAAAGTCATCAAACTAATTGGTCAGCTACCTACAGGCCAAGGTTTCCGTGGCTCTAGCATTGATGGCTCCGGCATCACTAACATCCCTTATGTAGTTATTACGTGCAAAGCACCGTTGCTAAGTGGGTGGGTAACTAGAAGGGTAGGCTGTGATCTGTAGCTGGGAATTATTTAAGGCTCACAATTCAAAGCAGAATATAAAAGGTAATAATAAGCGATAATAAATGGTTCAGTGCTCTGATGGTTCAGAGAAGGATGAGAATGCTAGGGCTGCATGGTCAAGGAAAGCTTCCTGGAGGAGGAGGTCTTTCACCTGGGCCTTGGGGGATTGGAGGATTCAGTGTGACAGGGCAGAAGTGCTGTTGGCAATGCTGATGACGATGGCATCACATGAGTGGAGGCAAGAAAGAACAAAGTGGTATTTGAGGGAAATCATGTAGAGAAGGAGTTACAAGGGAGTGATGGGTTCTGAGGTCAAAAAGATAGGTTGAGACAAACAGGGAGACGTGGAAGTGCAGGGCAGGCCTTTCTGACTTTGTCCCCTAGATGGCAGGGCAGGGAGTGATCTGCATTATAGGGAGAGTAACATGGTGGTGGGGGGTGAGAGGGCAGGATAAGCAGGAAGCAAGAAGGAGTTTGGCCTTTGGAGAAGACATCCCATCCTGTGTCTTAACATCCAGTGTATGGTGTTGGCAGTAAGAGAGAAAGAAAGAGCAGAGCAAGAGGCCCCACAAAGGAAGAATAGACGGGTCAGGGCCTCCGGGCCTCCGGGCTCCACGGGCAAGTTCAGTGTGTGGGGCGTGACAAGAGCAGTGCAGGCGTGTAAAGAAGGCGGGACTCAGGTCCTGGGCCTTATTCCCTATGATCTTTAGTAAGCCGCTGGAGTCCTCCGGGTCTCGCCTTCTCCCCATCTGTAACCTGGGCAAGGTGCTGCTCTCTAGATCATTGTCCCTCCACCTATGGCTCGGGGTCCCCCACCTCAGAGCCGCCTGGAATGCTTTCCTAGTATGCAGATTGCTGGGACTTAGCCTGGACCTGGGGAAGGGAGGAACCTCAAAAGCTTGTCTATTTCATGCGCTTCCCAAGTGACCTTTGCACACACTCTATAAGAGAACCACTGACCAGATGGGGTAGCTTGCTCCACCTCTTGTACCAGCCTCCCAGGTATAGTGGAAACACAATTCCACTCTCTCCAGGGCTCCCTGCCTCTGTGTGACCGCCCCCCTCCCCCCTTGCCCAGGGCAGAGTGAGATAGTTCCAGAGAACAGAAAGTTGAGAAGGTGTGGGAGGAAGATCTTTCTGCACCTTAGTCATGACACGGTGTTCCCCGAAAGAGGGCTTCTCTGTCCAGCCACGTCAACTAGTTCAGAAGCATTTTTTCCTGACCACTAGCTCTGGCCAGCCCTCTGTCCCTCTGTTCTGCACAATTAAAGCAGCTATTTGCTGAGGAAGCAGAGGGTAGAGTCTAATGATGCATGCCATGAAAGGGGGGAGGGGGATGAGCGTAAAGGCAAATCTGGCTTTTCATTAGTGAAATGAGCTCATGATATGGAGTTAGCTCTCAGTGGGGGCCAGTGAAGGAAGACGGGATGGAGGACAACTGAGGAGGCAAACGGGTCCTGGCTGGCAGCTGGCACCTGGGCTCAGAGTCGCCCAGGTAAATACAGGACCTGGCATAGGTGCTGGGGAAGAACGGTTTCCACGCAAAAGGGCTGCCCTGAATGGGGCAGTTCCAACCAAACACCACGTGGCTTGCCCAGGGCGCAGACTCAGATATTTTGCACGTAGAAGCTGCTGAATCATCCTGATCAGGGACCTCCCACTGCCTGGAACACGTGGCAGGACTTCTAGAAACACGTGGAAAGAGAACTCTACCCCCATCCCTCTCCACATTGAGTCACCAGGCTGACCTCTCAGAGGCCTCCTGGGACACAGGAGGGCCATGTGGTAGCCAAGACGGGGCCAGTCGTCCCCTGTGCACTCTGCCCGGGCGGCTGAAGCAGCCGCTGGACATGTGCTGGGTTGAGAATTGCTGGGTGGGCCCCTCCCCAATGGAAATCAGTCCCAGGTCAACCCAGCTGAGCCCCGGCAGCTTCACCAACTCTGACCTGGAGGGCAGCTGCAAGTCAGGCTGTCATGTGAGCTGAGGATGACTCTGGCCGCTGAACCGAGTCCATGCTGGTAAAGTCAGGAGAACGGGTGCCCTCGGGGGCTGGGGGTGATGGAAGGAGGCGCCAGGAGAGGAGCCGCTCATGTTGTTGGTGAAAATTCGTCATGCTGTTCACTATGATACAGGCACTTTTCTGTGTGTATATTGTAGCCAAGGAAAGAGTTAAACAATTCCAGCTGGCTGGGAGAGTCATCCTCCCCCGATAGTGTGTTTAGCCCTCCCCAAGAAAACCCCAAAATTCCTCAGTGTGTGTTCAAAACAGCAGAGCAACCAAAAAGAATGACTCTGTTGGAACGAACAACCCAAGACCACGTCATGTGAGCAGAGAATGTGCTCCGTCCTGGGTAACCAGGCGTCGCTCTGGTGCTCCTCGGGTCAGGCTAGTTCAGCAGTCAGCCACCACCACAGTCTGCTAGAGATTCTGGAGAAATAAGACCCTTCACCCTTCAAAGGAGATGGGATGAAAAGGGAACATGGAAGCCAAGTCCACCTCCTGGAGGTTGAGTCCCACCTTCCCCTGGTCAGGGCCCTCGAGGCAACCAGCGGCCCAGCACTCCTGCTGCGGGAGCCCTGGGATGGCGTGGCTGGGCCTGGGGGTGCGGGTGGCAGGCTGCAGCCACTCCCAGGCTCCTGCCCATCTTCTCTGCAGCGGCTGGGCAGCCCTCAGCCCTGGCAGCACCCGCGTGACCCGGGAATGCCACAGCATTCCTCCTGTGCTCTCCTTCCTCCCAGGCTGTGGATGCTCTGTCTTAGAGAATTGTCTTTGGGAACTGGGAAGGGGTCTTCCATGGGGCAAACACTGCTTCTCCGGGCTCCCGCCTTCCGCCTCCACCCACCTTCTGGCCTGAATCTGCTGGAATATGAAATTGTTATGCATGACTTTTCCCTGGGACTTGGGACATCCTCCTGAGCCTTGCCCGAACTCTGAGAACCGACAGAGGACACACGGAAGGAGGCGAGGAGGAAAACCCCTTCACCTTCTATTCGTTAGTGGTGATCAAGGTGCCATGTGGCCTCACAGTCAAAGGCAGTATGAAGAGCAGACTAAGTTAGACCTCACGGGAGAACGCAAAGGGCAGTCAGGGAGCGCGGGCAATTACAAGGCTGGTTGAAGGGAGGAGAGCACTTGTTTTCCCCAAAGGTAGGGGGGTTAGCCAACTAAAACACCAGCGACTTCTCTCCTGAGGATGACTGAGGGGAGCAAGCGCGAGGCACTCCTGGGGAGAG